AATTTCAATTTTTAAATTAAGTATTTTAAAGTTAGTATTTTAAAATTAAAATTAAAATGCAAGACAATAGTTATATAAAAAAGACTTGAATAAAGCCTTCAAATTTATTCAATAAAATCTAATTGCAACTTAGAACTTAGAAGTTACAATTTACAAATATTAGTGGAGTAACTAATCTACGCAGCCACCTTCTAGGAAGGGTTCTGTTTCAATAAGTTCTCATATGTAAAACTAATATTTGTAACAAATATTAGATGAGTAACTAATTTACGCAGCCACCTTCTAGGAAGGGTTCTATTTCAATTAGTTCTCGGAAGTAATCTAATATTTGTACTCTCCTTTAAAATTCAATTCTAATTGTCGCATCATATCGACGGTAACATCCTCCGGTGTTGGCAAACTTGCTAGAAACTCTTGTGACTCTAATTCATCATCACTAGATCCAATTACCGCATTAATCAAAGCTTCTTGTTTGGAATTTAACCTTGGCAAATTATAATTCCTCCTCTCGGCGTTGACCCAATCTCTAAATAAAACTGATGTTTCCAAACTTTCTTTCGTCAATGAATGTCTATGATCGCCAAGTTGAAACCTTGCCGCACTAAAAGCAGCCTCTGATGCAACTGATGAAGCTTGAATAACTAGAACATCACGAACCATTTTGCTCAAAATTGGAAATGCAACGCTCCGCCTCCTCCACCATGCTAATAAATCCTCATTGCCATCTCCGTCTTCCACTATTTCTAAAGATTGATTAAGATATTCTTCAAAATCATCATGGTTAGTAGAATTAAGATCAAGAAAACCTCGTATATAACTTGAAATTCGAGCTTTACTCTGAGGATTAGAAGTTTGACCAACTTTTCCTTGAGTATTTCCTGTAGTTCTATATTTTCATACAAAACTTTTGCTTCTACTTTTATGCTAGACTTACACATTTCACAAGTTGGATTTTATTCCGGTAAAATTTCTAAAGTATCATAAAAAGTGTCAACAAGTCCCTGCACACCTCGTAATTTATAGTCAGGATGAAGTAAAGTAGCAGTTAAAAAAAATTGAGGAATAGGAAAAAAATATTTTTAAAATTTTTCAATCATACCTTCAATTGCAACTCTAAATTTTTCAATTTTTTGTATTTAGAAAATTGAATTGAAATAGCACAAATATTTATTAATACTGATGAAATAGTAGGATAATAAATCCAAAAAACATGGTTGTAGCATCATAAAAAAGTCTTAAAAATTCTAATAGTTCATTAGTTTCTTCCCAATCTTCTTCACAAATTCTCTCTAATGGGTCAATATTATGAGCATTAAACACCATTTGTATGGGTCCTTTATATTCGTAAGCAACTGAAAACATCTCGTAAAAAGAATTTCACCTTGTTTTAATATGTCTTGGAATTTTTCTTGGTGGCAAATCACATAGTACATTGGCTCATTAAATTCCCTAATTCTAGCAACTCTATGAGCATAAAAAATCCAGGCAACAACATATTCAATTTTCATACAACCACATTTAAATAATGAAATACCATCTTGTACAACTAAATTTAATGTATGTGCAACACATCTAACATGAAAAGAATTAACATCAATTGGACATAATCTAGTTTTTAACATACTGGCAGCGTTTGTATTATTAGATGCATTATCTAATACAACAGACATTACTTTATCTATAAGCATGTAATAATCTAGAATACTCAAAATATTTGAAGCTAAATATGCACCAGTTTTTTTTCTCTACACATTCTTTATAACTTAAGATTCTTTTTTGCAAATTCCAATTATAATCAATCCAATGTACTGTAACAGTTAAATAATCACGTCCATTAACACTACGATCCATGTCCGAAGTTATAGACACTCTACAATCTAATATGCTATATATACAACGAAGCTATTGACAATGTTTACCTTGATATACAAAACCATCAGATTTAACAGTATTTCTTGAAAAACCTATATAAGTAGGATTATAAGTTTGTTGAATATATTCAATAAAATCGGGATGTGAAGGAAAACTATAACGCAAACCACAAACATAAACCATTTTAGCTAAATTTTCACGATCTCTTTCCTTATTATATTTACGTTGTGTTAGTGGACCACCGGGGTTAGAAGGATTTAATGTTCCTTGAACAATGTTAGATGCCCCTACCGATTCATTAACATTAATATCAAAATCATTAACTGGAATTCCTTTTTTTCTATTGGCTAATGATTTAGCTTCTTTATATTGAATCGGCACACAAGATAACAAATGTCTATTTAAGCCCCCCGTCCCACCTTGACCTCCACCTTGTTTATGTTTAAAAGGTTGCTTACACTTATTACAAATAGCAATAGAGTTTTCCTTATCGAAAGTCATAAATTGCCACACAACAGAAGTTTTAGGGTGTTGATACTTCACCTTTCCCTTGTAGGAGGTATAAGGGGTGGGCGTCCACAATTTTGTTCCGTTGAATTTGTAGTTTCATTTGGAACTTCTGTCATCGGACTAGTAGGTGTATCTTCTAATTCCTCTTTTCCCGAACCAACTTCTACTTCTTCACCTGAATTTTCATCAAGATAGGGATTAATATCACCATAAATTTGTTGTAAAATTTCATGATCGAGTTGAACATTTGAATTAATATCATAAGAAGTATCATCAACATAAGTAGAATCATTTGTATTAAATCTAACTCTAGACATTGATTTAGAAGAAGTACCACCACATTTACTCTTATTTTTTTCCTACTACTTTTTTTATTAAAATTAAATAATTTACTAATGCCACTTGGTTCTTTCTCTTTTCCTTTACCGGTATCTTTTTTGCTAGAACTCATATTTAATTATATGTAAAGTGTAATATAAAATAATAATAACACAAAAATTAATGACGAAAAATAAAATATAAATATTATGAAACGAAAGTACCAAACGTCTGCGTTAATAGCAGACGTTATAACCAATTCTTGAAGCTTGTAGTTTGGAACTCCAATATTTGATAGCAAATATGAGAATAATATATATTATGATATAATATGAAAATTTAGAATTGAAATATATGTATTATAATAATATGAGACTTAAATGGAATAAAAAATTAAGACTTAAGATTGAGAGGATATAGAAATAGATGAGAGAATAAATGATTTTGTAAGAAATAATAAGGGATAGAGGGGTATTTATAATATTAAAAATGGGTTAAAGTGTATTTATGACAACTTGAGGGTTTAAATTAAAATATTAAAAGTAGGGGGTGTTGGGGAAGTAAAAAAGTGGAATAAATCCGTTGGGGGGCCCACTAGTCATTGCCCTAACGGTTGGCAATGGATACAATTCAAAAAAAAAAGGGGATCCCGCGAAATCGGCCGATTCAGCCGGGCTCGGTCGACCGGGACCAAAGGGTGAACCGGACCGGTTCCAGTCCCCTAACCCGTGATCCCCCCATCCCGCGAGAATCTACGGGACCGGGTCCGGCGAGACGGTTCTCGAACCGATCGCGGGCCGACCTGGTCCCCCTGCCAGGCCTAGTCAGGATAAAATCATGCACAACCCTTAAGAAAAAATTAACATAAGGTGCAATGTGACTAATATAACCCTACTATCAATCATTATTAAAATGGTTTGTACCTTTTGAAAACGGTAAAATCAACTTTTTTTCACATTAAAGTAGTCTTGTAACTTTAAAGTGACCACTTTTTGAAACCAGTAGTTATGTAATTATTAAGGGAAGAATTGGAAAAAAGTGACTAATTGTTTCTTGATTGTTTAAATTGACAATTAATTTTGGACAACTATTTTTAGTATACATGACAAACAATAGTGGACGGAGGAAGTACATCTTATCATTTATCCTTTGTAACATAAACATAAATTAATGACTGTAAAAATACATATCAGGATCTGTAACATAAGCAATGATGTCACTGAGCCCTCAACATGAGTAAAATACACAAATATTTAATTGTGAAGAAGAAGAAGAGGTTCAAAATATTCGTTGTTTTAGAATAAGAGGAAATCTCTATATTTATAGACAACAAATGGTAGTGTGAACAAATGTTTATTGTGCTTTATCGGAAATGTTACATCTATTTGGAAAAGTTGCAATCCTTCAGAAAGGTCACAACCTTTCATAAAAGTCACAACTTTTTATAAAAGTCGCAACTATTCATTAAAATCGCAACTTTTCATAAAAGTCGCAACTCTTCATTTAAGTCACAACTTTTCATAAATGTCACAACTTCCATTAAAAGGAAAGGTTAATTTTGGAAATAAATAAATTAAAAGTGAATTCTGATTTGTGGTGGCGCCACGTAGGCGAGCCTAAGGTTCTCTTTTATATATATATATAATATATGATTATTTAATGAAAAAAACGATGAATAAAATTCAAAAAAAAAGAAGAGAAAAAAGATAAATATGAATGGTGGTAATGTCACATCACCTTGTCTATATCTAATTTTATTATATATATATATATATATATATATATATATATATATATATTTTACGTGGGACACTTGCTAATGCTCCAACCCAAGCCTATTGTCAATCACTGTTTTTTTTTTTTTTTTAATTGGACATTTTATTCATCTTTCAAACAAAAAGTACAAAAGGGGTTTAGATATCTTTACAAGTTTCCCCGACTTGCTTTGCTGATAGACAAGACTATCTACGACATCTTGAAAGATGATGTAAATGCGATAATGAGGAACACCGATCCTCCAAAAAGGGCAAAAGATGCCTAGACTAATCTGCACAACTAAGGGGGGGCATAAGTGATTTCTGCTTTCTTTTTGTTGGTTGTACGAAGATTGGGAAGCCCCAATCTGTCAATCACTGTACCTTCTCAAAAATACTTCCTCTGAGAAACATACACAACTTTTAAAAATATGGAAAGCTATGTTTCATATTCTCCTCCTGTCACATTTGTTTTATTATCTCTTGTCATATCGATAGAACATAATAAGATCGTGTCAACACAACCCCCCTCAACGAGGCATGGTTTAACAACATCTCATTCTATTTCTATTCAATCAGTAGCTAAATTTTCTAGTACATTTCAAAATTACTAGCAAAAAATGACATTAGCCATAAATGCCAAAACACAATTACAAATGAATTCCTTCTCAACACACCCCAGCCCAAGCGAAGCCACTGCACTGCTTTTTAAGAAAATACATAGGAAAAAGAAAACCCCATAGCTCATAGCCAGGTTGCCTACAACTAATCCGCAGCCATAAAAGGGTCTGTATCACCCAGATCAGCCATTAATGGTTCCAAGTCTGCTACATCTTCATCTTCTTGGGCAAAGTAAGTGGGAAATGAAAGCGTTAATATATCTGGTTTCTTGTACACAGAATCTTTGATGAACACAAAGTTACCTTCGGCTCCTGGAACCTGTAAAGGAACATTTTAATAACAGGTTTGAGTTATCAACCAAAAGAACTGGCATCATACTAAAGAAACTTCTTTACAAGATCAAAATAGTTTTGTTACAGTCCCATGTAAGGGATCGAAATCACGCTTTTCTCCAAATTCACAGTTCCAAGAAGGTGAAGTAAACCGCACTAGTTGTCATATAACTGCATACTCTTCAGTTTTTTTTGATAGGTAACTAATATTAATTAGAAAGCACATGAGAGAGGTCAAATTTTTTTATAAGGTTAATTTCACCAATAAAGTACCTAGAGGACTCAAAACAGCACAGGGGAGAGGTTTATTATGTTGATTGCCAACGGTAAGTATCAACTCCAGAGTAATTCACAATTCGCACCCCTAATGTATGCTCTCTTTTGTTTACACCCTAATCTCCTTAGGGGTCGTTTGGTAGAGTGTATTAGTAAAAATATGCATGCATTAGCTTTGTGTATTAGTAGTTCCTTGTTTGGTATACCTTTTTTTTTTTTGGTGATAAGGGAAACCTGTAGCCGCTATCCTTGGGTGCGCACAGGGTAAAAATCCGTTCCTATGCAATAGCTCACAAACCACATAGGAGAGGCAACCCGCACTAGGCAAGCCCGGTGTAAGTCATTAGAAATTATAGGATAAGGTGTAAGTCATAAAAAAACTCATACATTAGGGGTGCAAATCGCAAATTACTCATCAACTCTAACTCTCTCCTTTTTTGGTAAGTTACAATTCTTTTTTAGTCAAGACGAGTTTGAATGCATAGAATTTCATATGAGAGATTGCACAAAAGGAGAATTGTATTTAAACTAACACACTGATAAGTTTCATATCCACTTGTTTCAAGTTTAGAAAGAAACAGAGAAGATATTCAAAATCTTGCCTGGCCTTTGACCCACATCAAGTTTCTGGCAGGATCAATCTTGTAGACCCAAACATTTTTAACAGTTCGTTGTACTCCACCCATGCGCCCAGGCATCTTTTTCCCTTTAAATACCTATTAAGGAGGAAAAAAAAACAAATGTAAGAGGAAGCTTGTAACATTAACTAGATTACCCAATGGCATTTTCCAAAAGCAACTGATCGTTTAATTCCAAATCACATGTTCAGCCGAATCAGTTAATCATAGAAACTTTGGGTGACTATCAAATGCAACTTCAGCAATGCAAGTTATCTGCCCCAGATGAGAGGTTAAAGCTCCCAACTACTTTAGAATGTCACAGGCTATTGTCTATACTATAGACCACAAGGGGTCAAACTCAATGACATGATGGAGGATTGCATTAGCATACTTCTAGAAGTGGCCCATAGTGTATTAGAAGTCATCTGGCAAAGAAATTCATAGAAACAAGAAATAATTGTTAATCCATAAGAATGGTTGTTTTTTTGCAAACTCAATCTGCCCCAAAAAAGTGTGTGAGGGGTGGGGTGGGGGTTTCAAAATTCTGTAATACCAAGTAAGTTCAAATTTATTGCAACACACCCTTGATGTATAAAACTCAACTCTTGATTGAAACAAGCCCCATATCTGGTATTAACAACTCACCACACAGCTATTTTCATGGAAGTTTCAATAGTCCCCACAAAAATCTCAGCAAATGAACTTTGTCCACGACATTGTGGATGAGCATGTTTTGGCACTTGTAAGCTGTAAATTTAGTTTCTTATTAGTTGTTTTTCTGTTTCTCCATAATTTTATAGTTGGAAAGCAATCAGAATTGGAAGGGTGAGATCAAAATGATAAAGAGAAGATGAAGGATTTACCAGCTCACGAGAATAAACGGAGAAGTCCTTATCAAAAAGAAAATAGGGAAAAATAGTATTCAAATTTCATTTTTGTGCAATTAACATGAGTTCACCTAGCCTCAGTGAGATAAGCCACATAACCTACTTGAAGCATCTATAATGCAACTTTTTGACATGAGAAAAAAGTTCTTACATTGAGTAGTCACTACTTCCACTACTGAATGATTTATACAGTCAAAACACACAATTCGATCCAATCCATTTCAATAAACAAGATGTGTCTAGGAGGTCAAATGTGCAATACCAAGTATTTTCCAAATGAAAAGCAGCATAGTAACTACAAACTATGAACCAGGGGAGTATGACAAACAACAGAAGTCTAGAAGAGAAACAAAATGGAAATCTCTTCTTTTTTTTTTAGTCAAGTAAAAGTATTTCCATTATAAACATGGCCAGAAATCTGACCATATATACAAGGGGTATACCAAAAAGTAAAGAATCTACAAAAGGACACGATTCTCTACAAACTCCACCCAATCATCTATACAAAAAGGAACTTTATGGGTGCACCAAAAGAAAATAAGGGGTTGGAAACTACTCATCAACGGAGAAAAACTCGACTCTACACCCTTAGAAGCTCTCCTATTTCTCTCCCCCCATACAACCCACATCAATGCAAGAGGAACCACATTCCAATATCAACGTTTTCTCCTCCTCCTCAAACTCTTCCAACATAACATCAATTCTTTCACAGTTATTTGGCATTGCCCAAGAATTTTAAACCACAAACATATTAGCCATAATGTAGGTAGCAATGTAGAAGAAGATGATCCACCTCCTTGCCTGTCTTCTTGCACATGAAACACCAGTTGACAAAAACAATCCTCTTTCTAAGGTTTCCACAGTCAAAATCACCCATCTAGTAGCTAGCCAAGTGATAAAAAAGACACCTACCTCGACACCAGTATAACTAATTAGAGAGGACCCTCGACCTTTTACAAAAATTAAGAATTTATGAAGCACAAACGTATGGTTTCTTATAAAGTTCTTTTAAATCTGTCTGATTGAGATGTCCATATTTCAAAAGGATAATGTTTCTTCCTTTTGGTGATTCCAAGTCTTGACAATAAATAATTAGTTAGAGAGGACTCAAAACCAGATCTGACATTCACTCGCACCAATTAAGATTTGAAAACATAATCATGTTGACCCCACGAAAAATATAGAATGTTCAGCAGATACTATCGTGGGGTGACATTCAGAAGACTTTAAATTGCTATTTCTAAATAGTAGGTGCAAGGGGTAGAATCTTCAATTGTGTTGGTGTTGGAAGGCGAGTTGTTTATAAAACTATAGCTCCAAGATTTTTCCATCTGTCTACATCTCCAAGTTTACTTCATTTTGTAATTTCCAACATTCTATGTGGCCACAGCTATTTCTCTTTATAGCAGGATTCACCCTTACTCAATGGAAGTACATTCTTCTCTCAACAACCACAAAGGTGTTAGCTTGCTTCCACTGTTGGAGGTAGGCGAAAGGTCATGTAACTACGGAGATTCAAACGTTCAACTTTCCACCTCATTCATCAATCAAAAAGCATAAGGTTTAAGAAAATCACATAAACTAGGCATAGAAGAGGATGCTTCCTTATTCAATTAGGTATATCAAAAGCTGCAAAATCAAACTCGAAAGACTCAAAATCGAGAACCCAATATCAGTTGAGAAGGAGGGTCATTAAATATTGAACACCAATTTAGGTGAATAGATGATGAGGTTCATCTGTAGGCGTCCTTATCTGTAAGCAAAATTCATTTAAAAATTCCCCTTTCTACAATCAAAAGTTGGTTCAAAATTGGATTATACTTTGAGGAAGGTCCATCTCAAAATAATATGTAAACAACCTCTAGAAGTAGGAAATCTCTTTAGACTGAATAACTGTTTTCTTGTTCTAAATGGGTGTAAGATTCCGTTGCTAATTGGAACATGCTCTATCCGAAAGAATTGATCTTATGAAATGAAAAGAACGATTGTCAATGAAGGTCACAATACGTACTTTTCAAACATAATCCCCAGCATAAGAGAATTCCACATGTGACTCCTCATTAAACTCCATTAAGGACTTGGCGTTTTCTGTCTCACTTCAGCCCACTCCATTTTTACTGGGCCCAAAGATATTACTCCTGAGACCTGGCCTAAATATCTTCTTTTAGTTAAGTAAGCTACATGGTCCCCATCCTTCCAGATTGACGCATGTGGGTCATCACATGTCACCATACCTTTTTTCCTAACTGTGCCTCGTCAGTATCGCTCCTCCTTATACCCAGTGGATTTTTTTCAACTATCCATTGGGTAAAAGAATTTGTCAAAGCTTCCTCTCCAAAGGCAATTCTCATCGGAACCTCTGTCCAAAGTTGCATCGTGAACAAGACACCTTCGTTTTTTACCGTTACCTCCTTCAGAATGTTGGTCCCATCTCCACGAACTTTGATCCTATCCCATTTGATGTGATTTCGCAACGTGGTTTATTCCGCTGTTTCAGCCCAGCCTCCACAGTGTTCTCCGATGATCTTAAAAGTTTTCTTGGATCAAAGTTGGAGAGGGAAGCCGACGATCCTTACCAATGTCGTTTTGGGTCTATTCATTAAATCAGATGTTCCTACAGAGGGATTCCACCATCGAAGCTTTACTGGGGGCTGTCATTCAGATCCAGTCTCCTACCATGACTTGCTCTGCTATGAGCTTCGATGAGACTCAAATAAAGAGTCCATTCCCCATTTCGCATATGTTTAATCCATGAGCTTGTTTCCAATGATTGTTAGCCCACCTTCTAATTTCAGAGAGATTGCAGAAGCATTAAAGGCTCCCACAAAACTCCACTTTAAAATCTCAATTTGGCAGAGGGAATTTCAACTCGTCCATTTTTAAAGCAAATAGAAAAGGGCTAAGGACTGATCCTTGGTGCAGCCCCATCTCAACTGGGAAGTGTTCCGAGTCACCTCCAACCGTTCTAACCCGAGTCTTGGCTCCACCGTACATGTCCTTTATCGCCCTAATATAAATCATCAGGACCCCTTTAGCCCCCAAGCACCTCCAGAGGACAAGTTATTGCTAGAAGATTTTTTAAAACACTTCCACTGAAACATCATTTAGTTATTAGTTCACAATATCTACTTTTCCTTCAAATAAGTAGCCAACAATTGCAATTTGATAACAGATTCACTTATATATCATATTTAAAACAATTAATATGATATACCAAGCATGCTATTAGCATATAAATAGTTATAAGGTAGACCAAATGAGGCGTGTGGAAAGTGCCAACATATTCAATTGTATTAATAAAACTCATGCACTATAGATTACAGGATAAAATAAAGGAAAAAGAGGAGGTAATACCTACCTTTCCTGGAGCATCTCTTTGCCCTGTAGAACCAATACTTCTATGGGATAATGAAGCACCATGTGATGCAGGCATACCTTTAAACCCCCATCTTTTCATCCCGCCCTACACACATTGAAACTCCCAATCTTTAGTACAGTTCATAGAATTAGATATATCCACTGAGAGAAAGATAATACTCAGAGTTCATTTTGCATAATAAGAGGTGGAAAGTAGAAAGGTGGTACAATTTTGTTCCACAAATAAAACAATCTCTCTCTTTCTACCATTAGCTAAGGCTTAGAGAGTTCATATCCACAATATATAACAATAGCAAGCAATGCTACTTCGAGACAAACTGCCAATGAACATAAGGAAATGTTCAATAAGCAAAAAAATTGAAAAATCCAAGTTGTCTGTAGGTTGGTTTATGAAAAATTCAACAAAGTGCGAACACATGGTCTCAAAAGACAGTATGAGATCAAAATATGAGTAATCCTCATCAAAGAATATCACTAGTGCTCATTGTCCAAAGGTAGAAGTCAACACACTAGCTCCTAGCAACAACCACAAGCAGGGGTGTATATAAGGGGGTTCCCGGGTGCACGTGAACTCATGTTCCCCTCCCGAGATCATATATAGTAGTGTCATATTTTTTTAAAGAAAAAATATAGATGTGTGAACCTACACTTGAAGTATCATATAGTGCAGTGATTGAGTTCTTTCTTTAATCTTTCAAAATGTTCAAGTTTGTCAATTGATTCAACTGATCTCAATACCTACGATATGGAATATACATATCCATTTTTTTTTGTAATAGTGCACCCATCATCTCGAAATCCTAGATACGTCTCTGGCCACAAGGGTGTGGCCTAGTGGTCAATGAAATGGTTGAGAACTATGAAGTCCGTAGTTCAAATCCTAGTGGAGACAAAAAAAAATTCATTCCATTTGTCCTAGCTTTGATGAACAGAGTTACCTGATACTTGTTGTCAGTGGGAGGTGGCATGTATCCCTAGAATAAGTCGAGGTGCATGTTGTCAGTGGGAGGTGGCATGTATCCCTGAATAAGTCGAGGTACGTGAAAGCTGGCCTGAACACCACGGCCATTAACAAAAAAAGGTTTTTTGATGTATTACCGATTTTACCCATGATTGCATAACTCTACATGACAAAAACATTCATCACAATTTCACAATCATAACATACATACTACTTCTCACCATTTTGATTAATCCAATTACTTTTTTATAACCTAATTAGGATTAACCATGATTCTCTAATATTTTTTACATCAAAATCATTAGTTTATAATTATTAATTTAGAAAGCAACCTAGCTCCTGCTTGGCCATAGATTTTGGAGTACATTTTCAAAGAAAAATTGAAAACATTGTTTGATCATAAAATTTGGTCAAGTTTTGAAAATTTATCTTCAAAAAGATTCAAGTTCCACAAATTGGCCTAGACTAGTTTTGGGGTGAATTTCACTTCCAACTTCAAAAAAAAATCCAAAGTAAAATGCATGTCAAACACAACTTCAAATTCCAAAAACTCATTTTTCTCACGTTTCAACTAAATCTAAGGCAAAAGGCGCTTAATCTCGGTCTGAAGCTAGACATCTTAATGAACTGTCTGAAGACATAATAATATTTGATCAAAGACAGTCAATAAGTTAAGGACAAATGAGTACTTTCATATGCATTTTCCACATCTATTTTTTACTTGTATGGATCTAAATTTGTTATTATTTAAGAAAGGTACCTAGTAAACAAATTATCTAAGAACTCTCTAGTTAACCAAAAAAATCACTTTCCGTTTCAGTTTATTTTTGGCAAACACATTTTGTCATACTTCTCATAAATAATCCCTATCTGAACTTTGTGCAGTGCTTCATTGGACTACATGGATAGATACTGATTTCAAGGAGTACATATGACTCTAGATAGGTTATAATTTCTACTAATTTCAGAAATGTAGTTGTGGTCCATAACAAACTTTGAGTATCTTCTGGATAAGACTAGAGTCGAGTGGTTGAGAGCCAGTTTAATTTTATGTATGGGCAGCTTGTATATATTGATCATGAACATGAGAGTGGCACCTCTTTGTTGCCTTCTATTGATGAAATTCTAAGTACTACCAGTGAAAACTTCAGTTTCTTTTGATAATTATGCCTTACTGTCTTCTGGAGTCCATAAAACAATTAGCAATTCTACCTACTCCTTTAAATAGATATCTGGAAAGAAGCAGATGGCACAGTCAAGAACCAATGACATGAAACCTTAACATTATACTAGCACAAAGGTATGAAAGGACTTCGAAGATGCCACGTACGAGAAGCCTTTTAGTCAAAACAGTAGAATCTAAACAGTCAAGAACAGGGGAGAAAATACTTCGGTAAGGGGAAAGCTGCTTATATAGAACGTTAACCCTTTTTCCTTTTAATATCTTATAGTACGGTGAACAGAACAGGTACAAAGAGCAATCAGTAAGACTAATCAAAGAATAAACACAACAAGATTACTCTCAACCTGAAAACCCTTCCCTCTTGTAATTCCAGCGACATCCACATACTGGCCCGGAACAAAATGTCGGACACTGATGCTTGTTCCAACTGGAAGAAGTGCATCTTCGGTAACAGGAAACTCCTTCAACTTTCTCTTCATGGGCACACCTTGTGCTCTAAAATGACCAACTTCAGGTTTTGTCAAATGCTTCTCCTTTTTGTGAGCACATCCAATCTAACTACCACCATAATAAAGATCAAGTAAACCACAGCACAGCACATCACAATGAGTAATTCATAGTCCTCAAAGCCATTTATTTAAACAAGTTCTTTAATTTCTGCTTTTTGTCAATCAGTAAATAACTTATTCAACCAATATCAAGTGTAAAGGCCACAAAAATTTCCATTCTCAGGCTTGAAAACACGTTCACATGTGGTCCTCACAACTATTACTACCAAGCAATAATTACAAAAAATAACAGAACTCTTTCAGTGATGCTTGTGAATTACGGGTGCAAATAAATTAGTGATGGTTGAAGATTAGCATATCTTACTTACCCTAATAAAAAATTTCGTTTTTAGGGAATCCAACCAGCAAATCAGTTTTAGATAGCCCTTCTTATATTTTTACATTTTATAGGATAGGATAAAGATTCAGTGTTCAAGAAGAACCTGTAGTGCAGTGATGCCTTCTTTTTCGGGGATTTTGACCTGGGAAACAATGTTATCATCTAACCAAAGGATGGTGATGAGAACGCGTTCCCCCCATTTGTCCCATAGAGCTGTCATTCCACATTTGACGGCTATGGCTCCAGTACGCTTGGAGTTTGATCTCATAATTCCAGGTTTTCCTTCAATAATCCGAGTCCTTAGTTCCTCCACTTGGCTACTGCAAGCACTGAAGGTTCTGCACTGAGTTTCCGAAGCTGTGAAGGATAGAAGTATGCGGAGATGAGAAATGAGGCTTCTCGATGCGGCGGCTGCCATTGAGGAGCTCACTTCACCTCCCTCTCGATTGTCCTACACAAATTGATGAGTTGTTATTACTGGAAACTGCAGAGGAAGATGGAGAAGGACGAACAGGGCTTTGCTGATGCTCCTTTTTGCCGTAGGGTTTTAGACGTTAGACATTATGGGTATATTAATTTTATTTAAATTAAATAATAGATGGAAGATATATTATATAATATCATTGTTACGAATTTATAGGACTACAATATAAAATATAAAAAATCAAATAATGTGATATAATTATCAATTATTTTAGAAATTATAACAATAAAAAGTTGTTAGACTAATGAAAATAAAAATTATTAAGATTTGATTTTTATGTGTAGTATAGTGTATAAATATTATGTGTATATAATATTTTAACTCTCTTTTTTTTTAAGAATATAATTTGATTGTTTTCATAATTTTATTCTTGTAAAAAATATTTTTGAAAAGCAAATAGATAAACAATGTAAAGAAAAGGTCTTAGAAAAATTTCTAGCTTTAATACTTTTTATTCGTTCATTTTCCTTAGAAAAAGGTGTGACTGTATTTCACTTGTGATTCACACGAGATACATTTATAAGCAATATGTTGTTAATAAGTAATTTCTTATTAAAAAAAACATAGTTCTTTTGAATATGTGAGTTTCCATCATTTACATATTTCAGATAATAAAATTAATATTCTTACGCAAGTGAGATATTAAAAAGTATAATGAAATTTTCTAAAATAGCTAAATACTTACATATTTACTAACATGCCATCTTAATGTTGTCATTATTTGCTTTCAAATAATCACTTTTTACAAATTTCAGATAATAAATTTAAATAATATTCATAAGTGAAATTAAATAGTAAGATATAATTTTGGACAATAGCATAAAATAATGTCAAAATTTTGGAATCACTTTTCTAAGAGAAAATCTTTATATGTGTGGAGGAGTTTTATCTACATGGTAAATTCATGCTTTATAAAAGAGGTTACAATATAACTTTAAATCTTGACTTCCTTGAAAAATTTAACACACCACTTTTCTTCATTTTTATCACAAGACAAGATAATGTTGCCCGTGCTACGCACGGGCCCAATAATATAAATGGTATGTTTTGGGGCTAATAACCGAGTTTTTGAAACGATTGTTTGCGTGGATAAAGGAATAAATTTTTTTATCACAAACCTGTACTTTCTTTGACGCTATTTAAGGCATAATAAGACTACCCACATACAACATTTTTGAAATATTGTCAATTTCATGATTTATAGTATTTTTACGATAGATTCACTTCAAGAATCAGTGAAATTTTTTGTATTTTTTTCAAAACATATTTTATGTTGTCAATTATCATGATTTATAGTATTTTTATGCAATTTTTAAGTATAAAAATAAAAATAAAAATAAGACAAATAAATTAAAATGGACCCAATATATGTTATTTTTGTTGTCTCAATTTATGTGACACAAATGAAATTTGGAGAGTCATCCAAATTTTTATATTTTAAAAAAAATATTTTAAGTTATTAATTATTGTGATTTATAATATTTTTATGTAACTTTGAAATAACGTACATTACTGGTCACTTTGTCATAATTTATATGATATGGATAAAATTACAAAATTAACCCTTTTAAAATGTCTTATAATGTACATTACTGGTCACTTTGTCCTAATTTATGTGATATGGATAAAATTACAAAATTAACCCTTTTAAAATGTCTTTAAGATATTTTAAGTTGTTACTTATTATTATTTATAATACTTTTTTGGTAATTTTAAAATAATATGTGTTATTTTTTCTGTCTCAATATATGTGAGCCTGATAGAATTCTGAGAGTCAACCTATTTTATTATATAACTTTTAAATATTTTAAATTGGTAATTATTATAATTTTTAATGATTTTCAAGTCATTTGTAAATGATATATGTTGCTTCTTTGATTGGGACTTTTCCATTTGTGACATATATATATTTTCTACTATATAATAAAAGGGAGTTTATGCCCAAGTTCTACTATATTATATAGTAGAATATATAATCAAGAAAGTTTCAATCTTAAATATTATATATTATACTTGGGCATAAATTCCCTTTTAAAAATCCCACAAGTATAATATATAATATTCAAGATTAGGAAAGCTCCCAATCTTGAATATTATATATTATACTTGGGCCTCAACTCTCTTTTATTATATAGTAGAACAAGAAAACTCAAACTCCCCCAACTCAAAAGGAACTACAACATGCTATTTTTATTTTGTCATCATATATGCTTCATTTTGAAAAATGAAATTGAATACCTAATAAATTTTTTCAAGTATTCCAAAATCTTGATTCATATTATAATATTTTACTGAAATACATGAAGTCTTCAAAGAATTAAAATAATAATAAAATAAAATAAAACATAAATAATATAATAAGAAAAAAAAGTTTACGAATACCCCTTTAAACAATGGCTTCCTTGAAAAAATGTAGCACACCACTTTCCTTTATTTTTATTACAAAATCAAGCTCCTACAACTAAAAAAAAAAATTATGGGAGAAATTACAAAACTAAGGAACTATGTATTCCAAAATCTTAATTCATATTAAAATATTCTATTACAATACATGAAGTCTTTAAAGGGTTAAAATCAAAATAAAATAAAAAAATAAAAAATAAAAATAAAAAGCATAAATAATATAATAACAAAAAAAAATTTATAAATACCCCTTTGAACATTGGCTTCCTTGAAAAATGTAGCACACAACTTTCCTTCATTTTTATTACAAGAAAAGTAAGCTCCTACAACTCAAATGAAATTAAAAGAGGAGCTGCATATTCCAAAATCTTCATTCATATTAAAATATTCTAATGCAATATATGAAGTCTTCAAAGAGTTAAAATCACAATAAAGAAAAAAAAACATAAATAATATAATAACAAAAAAAAAGATTACGAATACCCCTTTGAACACTGGCTTTCTTGAAAAAATGTAGCACACCACTTTCCTTCATTTTTATCACAAGCACTACAACAAATTTGATTATTAGTGACAAAAAATGATTCGTCAGTCATTCGTCTCTAAAGCATGGGTCACTAAATATATACAGAGACAATTTAGTGTTTCGTCACTAAATAGAAATGTAATAACTACGAAAATATTTTTTGTCCCTAAATGCTTCGTATTTAAGACAAATTTGTTCGTCATAAAAATTATTAAAATTTGTAGGTAAAGATATATTTTTGTCACTAAATAGGTCATTATAGCAGAGGAAAATGATGTGTCACTAACTATTTGGTTTAATTAGTGACGATGCAATTTGTCTCTAATATTTTATGTATTTCTTAGTCAAGGAAATAATATTTCATCACTAAAAACTACTTTTTATATACAATTTTTTCGTTGTCCCTAAAGGTAAAAATTAGTGACAACTTTATATTTAAATAATTTTGTAGTTGAAACAATCATGTCATCACTAATTCTTTTACCGACAAAATAATTGTCACTAAAAAATATCATAAATAAGTAGGTAATTTTGGGACAAAAAATATTTTTGTCATGGAATGTCATACTTTATTGACGAAAATGTTATCGTCTTAAAAAAAAATGTATTCATTTTTGAAGATAAAATGTTTTGTCATGAATAATGACATTTAAACTTGTAGCAATACTATTTACCATTCGTATTAAGCTAGGTCTCCGTAAATTTAAAAATTTATTAAAATTATTAAATAATATAAATATATTAAACTTAATAGCATGAAGTAGTGCTTTTAATAATGAGCATCATACACTATACAGATTAAAATTAACAACATACTAAAAGAAGCAAGATAAGAATAAAAAAATTACACTGTCATTTATTAATTAAGAACATCTAAAATGACATTCATAGATAATAATAAAAAAATTAGACTCTCATATATTAATTAAGAACATCTAAAATGACATTCATGAGATAATATCTCAACATTCCCCTTAAGGAAAAATATATTAAGTAAAAATTATCCAACTTTAAAGTCTAACTAAGATATACTAAATATTAACAAAACTAAAGCAGTAAAATAGAGGTTGCTTCTCAAAATACCATCGCAAAAACACTTCACTAGCCACTAGTCTTGATTTCCACCTTCCACAACCTGTCTAAAAGAAAAAAATTGATTTCATATTTGATATATAGCCATAATAAAGAAAAATTACTATTTTATTATGTACTAAAACTTATGAAAGTACAAGTAATTAAAATTTTGTACAAATTGAGCGGGTTAAATTTTAATCCATATATTTGTAGCTCATTTCAGTTCAAATAATTTTTGAGCAAATCATTAACCCGTCAATCTGTAACTCATCCCATCTTAATTTGTCTAAATTCAATCCAATCTATTCATTTGTAACCAGACATACATTATATGATTATAATGTAATTTTCTTGCTGAAATGAATATATCTAACAAAAGCAGCCAAGAAGAAATAAAAGAAAACAAAAGACAGAAGCTAAAATCCTACGTAACTTTTACTTTAATTTGGACAGCTTCGATTTGATTGTAATTATATGCATGAATAATATTCTAGTTTACGTGCTTTTGGTCTCTACAACGAGATGATAATTGAAAAAGGGAGCGGACCTGGACGGATACAAATCCGTCTTTAACAAACTTTTAATTTCGTTGGAGTTCTGCTTTGCTCGCTGCTGCTGTTGGTGTTCACGCCGTCTCAGTAGTGCTGCTGCTTTGCCAGATCTCTTCGCCGGTCGCAGCTGCTACTGGTTTCGCGTTCTCGCGTCATCGGAGCTGCTTGTTGTTTTGCCGGTAGCTGGCTGTTGCTTTCTCGCCAAGCTGCTGGCTTCGCCGGTAGCTGGCTGTTGCAATAAAATTGATTAGAATTGAGACACAAGGATGACTATAATTGAAATACAATTGAAATTGAATAGGCTGGAATTGAAATGGATTAGAATCAAATAGGCTACAAATTAAATATTTTAGAGGAATTTTAAGGAGATGCTATCCATATATTAAAATAATTTTATATAATTAAAATCACTTAAATTTTAAAATATTTGAGCAAAATAATTATTTCGAGTTCAACTATCGATAAATATAATAATTTAATAATAATGAAAATA